TGTCGCCAACAGTTCCACAATAACAGGCGAGATAAGCTAATGCACTTTTGACTTATTTAATTTCATATTACTTTTTTCATATATATTATAGGTATATGATATTGGTTACTTGTGTTTATTTTTTATGTTTGAACTCCCTGATGAAGTATTATAAATGAACAGTATGAATTTTATTTACCATTACCGAAAAATTTGACAAAAAAGTATTAATTTTTCCTTAAACCAGTTATTCAAAAATATATACTATGATATTTACCATATGAACTACAATGAAAATAAAATGAAAATGATATAGTATATAATTTTGTTTTTGCACAGAGGTTCCTTGAGACATGTAGTTTATTTTAGGGGTTACACAAGAGTAAAAAGGTTGAGAAATGCCGGTCTAGATAGTGAGGGTTACGTATTTTAAATGCTCCGAGATAAAAACCTATTATGATGGTTTGTCATGAGTAAAAATTCATGTTGTCATTTTTATTTCTGAACTTTTATTTTCCTATATCAAATGACTATATTTTACATTTATAGTAACATTTTCCAAGGTACAACTTATTATATCAAGTGCAACTTGGGAATTAGTCTGTAAATTTTTTCAAATTTAAAAACAATTTATAGACATATTTATTTCTAGTTAACTGTTATTTAATGATTAAAAAAGGAAATGTTTTAGTTAATGAACAAAATTTTGTATAATGTAATCTTAATGAGAGATACTAAAAAAAAACGAGACGGGAAACAGCACATTCTATTAACCCATTAATGCCCACCATAAAACCTGGTATTAGTCATAGGTTTCTATCCATAACCATATTGTCCTGAGTAGGACGATAAACTATATCCAGCAGCAATGCCTCCGATCGGAAGACTGGAGGTTTTGAGGAGCATAGAACTACCTCCTAATTGCTGTTGTTGAAAATTATGTATAAAATATTTACATTTCGGTATTAAATAACCTATAGGTTGATATACTGCTAAACAATCAACCAACCAAAAAATCCATATTTATAGTAAAATGACCAATACATTTTATATGTGGTTGAAAGCATACAATTGCATTCAAAATATTTCCACTCCAGCATTATATAACACAGAGGTTGATATGCCACTAAACAAAATCAACCAACCCATAACCATTAATGCCCACCAACCCGAAAATGGTACACTGGACATTAATAGGTTAAGCAGGCCTTTTAAATTGATCTATAATTTTTTCTCATTTTAATTCTAATAAAGTTCAGTTTAACTTTGTATACATAGAAATCAAGCATAGATAAACATGACATTGATACACAGCAGCAAATTAGGAGACAAAAAAAAAAAAAAGAAAAAAAAAAGAACTGCCCTTTAACCTTGACAAAAAATTAATTGTGTTTTGAACATTCATAAAAATCAAAGTCTGACATCTTTTTATTTTAAATCATTTAAAATAAACAGGTTCATGAGGTTATTGCCAATTCAGTGAGGAACCAGAATGACACAAAGCCTAGCAGATAATCAACTTTATTAGGTTCATTTAACTACTGATATATCAATAGTTCAAAATAGAAAATGTCAAGCTGCTCGCTTTGAATGATGCATTGAATTACCAATAGACAGATGGTAATGTGCAACCTGAACAGTTACAGAAGGAAAAAAAGCTGTGGGAAGGTCTGCTAGATTGTCCAGTCAAAAGATATTTTGAACTTCAATTACCTATTTAATATAATTGAAGCCATTCTGGATGTAAGAAAGGGGAGCAGACACCAATATGAAACAGGGAGAAGGGAAGTTTAGCTAAAATCTAAATTTATTTAAAAAAAAAAAAAAAAAAAAAAAAAAAAAATATAATGGAGATCCTATTCATTTTAAAATTCATATTTTCTTGGCAAGTTGAGTATATATATATATATATATATATATATATATATATATATATATATATATATATATATATATATATATATATATATATATATATATACACACACACACACACACAACAGCTTAGGTTATTTTGTATTCAGGATGTTCAGATAAAAAAGGAAAAAAGTTCTTTGATAAAGCATCTATTTTCTGCAAATATTAATGTTGTGCATTTAAATAGGGAAATATATAGCGATGATAATGGAAATATTATTATACATTGCAGGCATGCAAATAAACACATCAAAATTAAATCCTGATTTGACTTTATTAAAATGATCCAATTAAAAAAAAAATAAATTAGAAAGGAAACAGATTTTATGACCAAAATAAAAATATAGATTATATTTAAAATTATGATTACACCACTACAAAGCTTAAATCCCTCAGAATATCTCATCTTAGCCCCTTGATTTAACAGATACATCCTCTAGTTCTACTTGACAAACCTGTTTGAACTTCACAACCACATACATGTCACTAGATTAAAGGTCAATTAGAATATTGTTTTTTTTCCTTACTACTTCAAGCTGCATAATAAAAACTATGATTTAACTAATGGAAGAAAGTTCAATTTTGTTGGACGATGAAAATGGCACAATTAATCTCAATTTTCCTTACACATTGTGGTAAAAGACCTCTTTTGTATTTAGTATAAAAGGTGAAATAAATGTGTTCTTGTTAAATTTATCATATTGGTTGGTTAATATCAATGTTATTATGAAAACATTGACTGATAATAAAATCTGAAAATAACCATAGGTTGGGAAGACTGGATTATACACACTATTCTTTACCACTGTAGTCAAAGTCACCATTAGTATAACTATGGAAATTTAACTGGTTGAATAGTAGGGGTAGAGTATCTCTAACAAAGAACTATGATGAAAAAGACAAATCCAATGTGAAAAAGATCCACAATGACAGATGTCTTAGAAATATTTGTTTAGCTTTAAGAATTCACAAACAACTGTAATTATTGTATAAAGTTATATGATGCTACAAAACGGATAAAAATTAAAACCTACCAATAAATTAGTTATCAATGTTAGTTATCAACTTCATATAACCATTAAAAACAATTGTGAAAGTTTAGCTGAATGATGTTTTTTTTTCTTCTTTACAGTTTATCAACCCTTTGTGAGTTATTTAAAGTCAAAACATATTTTAGATTGTAATTTAACCCATAACTGGGAGGGGGAAGTGATGAATTTATACCTTTCCCAAAAGTATTTGTGTGTAAGTGAATGTAATGAACCCAACAGGAATTTGCTCTCCAGCTTCTCATTCTGAACTTCTGCCTATTACACCACCCACACATCCTAGTTGAATACAGAAAAGCTATCTGAAAAGAGATCCTCAAATGGTAACTGGTTTAAAAACAAAGAAATAACTTAACATGTTACTAGCCTCTTCTATCAGTATAATAAGGAGAGAACGGATTCCCACTACCAAAACGGTGCTTAAATAGACCAATGGCAATCGAGATAGGTCAGGGGCATAAAATGTTTGCATCAACTTGCTCAGAGCTTACTTTTGATGCCGTTTGAGAACATTTTAAAATGTCTTTAATTAAATCTAAAACAGATTGCTTCTACAAGTGTAGTCCAGAAATGCAATATTGGAGGACTGCCATAATGTCAAGGGAACTAGTTTATATTATAAAAGAGCTAGTTCTGTCATACACTCTCTGCATGTGATGATGTAATGTATATGCATATATATCTGTTGTGTGTGAATGGCTTACATGTGCTTGTGCCATTTAATGTACACACAAGCATGCACAATTTAACCACATTTAAAATAAAACTCCACTCACTCAAACTGGACAGTCACTACCCTCTAGATCAAGCAACAAAATCAAAGTTGAAAAAACAAACAAACCAGAAAACAGCTTCATGTCTGAAATTGTCTCTTTGCTTACATGTGCAATATAAATTAAAAAATAAAGAGAAAACAGCTTTTCTTTCACTTACAGTGAAAGAGTTTTAGTATAATATTTATAATTATTTCAATCTTCGTACCACATCAGTCTATTCCTTTATTGGTATCTAGAGCTGGCAGCATAGAAATGGTGAAAGTACACGTTCTATTTATTGCTTATGATAAAGATAAGTTAAATAAATAAAGAAAAAAAAAAAAGCCACAAATTCATGTAGAAATTGTACAATTAATTTCTCAGAACAAAAAAAAAAAAAATCTGATAATCATAAGATTTTGAACTTTTTAGAAATTACTCTAAGAAATAAAATTATTTTTTAAAGTTTTTAACTTTACGGAAATATTTTTTAGGTTTTTCATTGAATGCATACACACAGTTTGAATGAGATGGAAATGAGAATCTAGGTCACAAGGGCTAATTTCCCGTCTAGCAATCTTTGGATAACAGGAAAAAAAAAAAAAAAAAAAATAAGCCAAAATATGCAGCCTTTTGAATATATACACACACACACACACACACACACTTGGTATTCATCAACTAACATATCAAAAATAAAAAATAATCCATACCATTATTCTACTTATGCTTTTCTAGAGAAAGGGAATAGATGGATATACAAGAAAGACAGAGACAAGTTTGCTGGTTGGATGTCAGAAGACAATGAGCAAAAGATTGAACAGTAGATAGAGATGGGAAGGTGTAAAAATTTGGTGCATTAAAATTCTTTACAGATAAAAATAAAATAAAAGAATGCAGTAGAAAACATTTGTGCATTCCTTATTTGCATATGTGTGGCATGCAGATAAAAATCTGAATTGGCAACAAAGATTAGAAAGGATAAGGGAGAGAATAAAATGATACAGGCAAAGGATAACAGATTGATTCTTTTTCTACGGTTTATCAACATTTTGCATGTTTATTTAAAACCAGGAAATATTGTTTGATTGTAAGAATTATTTTTGAGATAATGATTTAGTTCTTACTAATTAACCAAAACCAAAGGGGTGTGGGGGGGAGGGGTGACAAGGTGGACTCATACCTTTCACAACGGTATGTAAGTGGTAAGTGAATATAATAGACTGAACTGTAACTGGATCTTGGCTCCCTGATTAAGAATTCCGGGCCATTATCCATTACACCACATGCACATCCGAACTTACAGCACCTGGTATTCCCAAGCAGTCACCCATCTAAGTACTAACCATGCTCAATGTTAGTTAATGTTGGCGATTGTACAGGAACCAGTGTTTCAATGTGATATGGCAGTTAAGCCAATAACAAGAGTAAAAGCATGAGAAGGACAATCTTAATGGTTGACAACCATGAAATTTCCATGGGTCCTGCTAGTGATTTATGATTTTACAAACTGATGTGATACAAAATAGAAGTCATAATTGTATGGATCAAAAGATCTGTTAGCCAGATTTTTGACATTTGGCAATTTAACAAAACAGGTACAGTTTACAAATAAACAAAACCATTTACCCAAATCAAAGACATTAACAGAAAATAAAATTTAATATTTGTTTGTTAAATCAGTTTTCATATAAAATGATCATATTTTGAGGATTCAGAACATATGAACCAGAATTTCCTAATTGCAAAAGTTAAATGTACATTTTTCAGACTCCAAATGAATACTTAAAGTTGGTTTTTGCCAAATTGCAAAAACAATGGAGTTAACATTCAACTTTTTGTTTCATATTCACAAATAAGCAAATATTTACAGGACCTTTTGATTAGGTCAGATTTATAAGAGCATGACCCAAATCACAGAGCCAGCTGAAGGGATTGTAGGGTCACATGTAAGCATAAATATATAACCAACAGTTTACATTTTAGAGAGAAATCACATTACACAAGATTTTAATCTATATATTAATCTTTATAGCTATCACAAAACATTGATTTCACCATTACAAATTACTTTACACCTCGGAGATGAATGAATCTACAAACTTACAGAATCAAACTTCTTTTTAAATTACATCAATGTCTAACAGTTTTTTTTAGTAAAAACTGTTAGACATTGATCATAAAATAACCTGGGCTATTCATTTTATTCTAAAGAATCATAAACAGCCTAAAACCTTTCTGTTTAGCATTTGTGAAATTTAAAAACTGACATTCAAGAAAATTTTACAGTTCAAAATAACTGATTTTCGTAACAGCTGTTTAAAGAACTCTTGAAACAAAATAAGCTTCAAGTGTTTCCCATGTTGTTATTTAAAAACAAACTGACATTTTCAGAAAATTTATAATAGTTGCAAAATTACATTTTTAAAATGTTTTAAGAATAACCATAACTGAGTGAAAAGCAGTGGTCAGTTACTTCATGCAGTCATGACCAGAGTAATATGACTAGAAAAAAGAACATTGACTAATTGTTCTGGAACAAAAAAGGTTTATATTCATAATAAAATTCCTATAGGGAAATGAAAACTTTTCTAAAAAAAAAAAAAAAAAAAAAAAAAAATAAAAAAAAATTGTTAGATATAAGAATAAGATTTTTAAAATTACAGAAAAAACAAAGATAAATTCAGAAATTTAGAGGTGACTTTCAAACCAAAACAAATTACTGTTAATTATATCCATTTTACCCACAGAAACTGTAAGCCAACTTATTTCAAAGAAAAAAAAGAAAAAAAAAAAAAAAAATACTTTTAAAGGAAAGATCAATTATATTTGATGAAATTTAATTAAAAAAAATTATAAAATTGAAAGTGTACAAGATTACACACACAGAAGGGTTCCTTCTGTTTATCAAATTACCATTTATCTACAGAGAAATGGATGCACCTCGCAAGATGAAAGGTTATAATTGCTTGCAAAAACTGTTCCTCTTTGTCAAAGAGCAGTTATCAGTGGCTATCAAGTAAAAACAATTAAGTTAAAAATAAAATGTTGTTTACATTAATGTTGTGACAGCTAAGTGATCTGTATACTTCTGTCAAGCAAGAGAAACCAAAATGCTTGAGCCAATATTCTCATTAATTTGGTACAGGTTGACTGCTGCTGCCTCCCTTATGGCAATAAGATATGATTATTTTATCAACATGTCAACAGGCCAAGCATCTCAATGTGGGGTAATGGTTACCAAGTTAGTTTCAAAGATCCTGAACAGCAAATTTGATCCTTACTGGGTGCTCCATACTTATAACCACATACCAAAACAAAGATAAACTTCATGTTAACAGGCCAATATGAAACCAATATGCAAATAAATTCTCATTTTTAAACCTTAGGTATCGAAACTGATACCTAAAAATGCAATGTATGAAATATGACTTTTGGAACTTAAACCAAATTCAGTTAACGGGGCTGGGGCTGTTTTGAATTTTTAAAAACCTTATGAGTTGTTGATTTATCAGTTAACAGAAAAGTAAACCTGTCAACAATACAAGAGAAATTGATTTAAGTTTCATATTATTTTTTTAACTTTTTTTAGTCTTCTGCTTTGAATGTTTTTGCAAGTGATGATTTCCCATTTTCATAGCCATCTACTTTATATACAAAATATGAAAGATGTCTCTTCAATCACATGCAAGCAAAAGGCCACTGTTGTATTTATTTTTAAATTGACGATTATAAAAATGAAATTAACTTTTTTTTGGTATCTCTTGTGTGCGTGGGGGTGTGTTTTAAAGCTTGTCCTTTTTGTGTTCAAAATAATTCTCTGCTCCCTTGTAAACTTGATTTATACTTCCTTTCCTTATGGGATGGGTGACGTTAAACAGGACCCCCCACCCAACCCCTCGCTGAATGATTCATTAACTTTTCCATCATTCCTTGTAGCTGAATGAATAGAATACTCATCAATTGCAAACACAGTGACATGACAGTTCAAACAATTTTACATGTGAATTAATAAATACTAAAATACTTAGAAAAAGTAATTTGCCAAGGGATTAATTAAAATTTATAAAAGATCTTTGCTAAAAAAAATGAACAGAAAGCTGAACACATTGAAAATAAAAGTGGTTCAGGTTACATTTTTTCAGTTGAATAAGACAATTATTGAAAAGGAGTAAAATTTCAAGCTTATTCCATTCTTTAAGCGGAAGCCTCATAATGTGTAAAACGAAAAGTATTTTTAATCAAAAGAATTGAGGATACCTTTAATAATCTGTTGTTCAATATAGGAAGTTTACACGGCCAAGCAAGATGAGAAAATAAGTTCAAATAATTTATTATTTAAGTAACTAAAATCTGACTACTTGTTTGGTGAGTTTGGTTTACTTTTTTAAATTTGGTCTTTTTCAAAGTTTAATAAAAAAAATGAAAAAAAAAAAAAAAAAAGAAATGGATATTACGAAAAATATAGATTTGAAATATTGTCATAACCTAGGGATATCATGTATTTATTTCAGAGCAATAAAGTTACTTGGCAGTGTCCATCTCCTCTCCAAGTCTCATGCAAATGGTTTTTAAAGTTACATTTTTTAACAATTACATGGTAAAAAAGCTGCAAGGAGTAATAATACTTAAACAGACCTATAGAATTTATTTTAAAACCAATTGATTAAAGTTTAAGGAAATGTACGACTTTTAATAAAATTTGCTGACTTCGTCCAATTAACAAGTTACTTCTTATAAATCTAAAATTAGTTTTACTAAGCAATAAAAAAAGAGGAAAAAGTTATTCAACACCTGTCCTTAAAAAAAAAAAAAAAAAAAAAAAAAAAAACACAATTAAGCAAAAGCTTAATTAAAATTTAATCTAAATTTTCAAGCATCAGTATGCACATAGACCCCTAGATCAGCGGCAGCTGTGACAACTTGTTTCTTTGGCAATAATGGGGGAGGGGGGAATAGTTTCTATAGTAAAAATACTATAAGAATGCAATGAAATCAGCAAGGCTGTAAAATTCTATCTTGCAGTGCCAATTTAAAGCTTTCGGTGCTTTATGATTTGAGAGAAAATGTGTAGTAAGTAGGATTTTTTACAGCCCCCAAATCATACAGTGCTGAACTGAATCAGAATCAATGTCAATTCTTAACATATGGAACCCCGACTAGCAGAAAAAACTTTAACACTAAACTTTTAAACTAAGATCTTTATTTTTTTCTTTCTAAAAAACAACACGGCAATAAAATTAAATTTTTTTAAATACAATTATAAAAATTATATCGTAGGAAGTAACAAAACACCTGATAAATGGAAAGTAAGTAAAAATGAAGATTGAAGAGGAAACAATTTAATTTAAATTATACAAAAATAAAAATGACTTTGAAGTTACTTTCTTGAAATACTGAATCTTTTTAGTTTTTAGCAATAGCGTCAACAAATCTGGGACTTTGACCGTCTGATTCTCGCCACCATAATTTCATTTTTCTTTCAAAATTAAGTTATTAAAAACTTTTTTTTCTTTCAAATTTGTAGCCACATAATTTTGACCGCAAAATCTGGCTTTATACTTAAATTTCATTGTTCCTTTCAGTTTTTCGTAAGTACAGATAAAGTTGGTGACAAACTGTTCTTGACATGATAATCGGCAAACGAAAACAAAACAGAAAAAATAAATCCATTCCCGTGAGGAATTCCTCTAAACTAAAGACATCCTTTTCAAAACCAAACTTATTAAATTACTAAAATAAATAAGTTTAATTAATGAATCTATTTGGCTACAGAAGAAAAAGATCACATTTCTTCACTGTTTTAAAACAGACAGGGAAGGAATCCACAAAAAAAAAGTCAGAAGTGAAAAAATAATTTATTTACCTAGAGTTCAATATAAATAAAATAAACTTAAGCAACTTAAGAGTTCAAAATTGTTGACACTGATAATCACAATGGACTTCAATGAAGAAAAAAAAAAAAAAAAAGTGAACCATCGGCATGTAGAAGTATGTAATCATGTGCACGAGTTAATGACGTGGCTCTCAAATGCAATAAACGTGTTAGTGGCCATAGAAAGTCAAACATTTTTTTTTTATTCTTAACTTTAAAAATGCAAATATGTCAATTTCATTTTTATTTATTGAATTCCGACTAAAATATCTATGAATAATAAGCTGCTAAGCTGAAGAATAAAAAAAACTAATTGTTCCATATGCGTACTATCGACGTCATTATCAGAACGTTTTCTGATAATTTTGACGTATCTCTTCATTTCATTGATGAAGGCACCAAAAAGCATAAACTAAAAAAAGGCATAAAAGAGATAATTAGGCTCCATATACAGACAACTGACATGGAATGAGTTTCATGCACGAAAAATACCATTATTACAAGAAGCAATAATGTTTATGTGCCATCTAATTACATGATCCTTGTATATGTCGTAGCAATTTCAAAGAGGGGTTTCCCCCTTGTACTATACTTGACACGTTGCATTTACTGCGGTTGATTATTTTTGGAGAATCAGTTTATTTAAAAATCTAAAATAAAGTATTTTATGAAAACCTCAATGAGAAAAATTTAATTAGATACGTTTGGTTTTGGCTATTGCGCAAAAAAGATTAAGAAATTTAGATTCTTTAGTACACGCATGGCAAGGCATTTTAAGAAGCTAAAAAAACAAAAAAAAAAACAAACATTTATTTCATCATTATTCTTCTTACAAATGAAAGAAGATTTAAAAGTCATTTTTTTTTCTAAATTTCAAAAATTATACGCAACAGTCACGCTGAATGTTTAAAGGAAAGCGGAATTAGTGTAAAGTAAAAAAGAAAAAAAAAGGAAAGTTGATATAGCATTCTATTTTTGTATTATTAGGTCGATTTTGTTTTTTAAAGTTTAGTTCCACGTCAAACAATAGTAATTGCTGACCCAAGCAAATTCGAATACTGAGTATACATCGGCTATGAAGCAGAACGCATCACTTAGACAAAAAAAAAAAATTTTATTTTAGACAGCCTTTCAAAAACTTTAATCATTTAAATTCAGTTTTTTTTTAAATTCTCAGATAAAATTTTGTTTAACAGCTTCCAAGATTAAATAGGTACGTGTAAAAAACCGACTAGAAAGAATACATCTTTGAATTATAAAAAAATAAAAAAAAGTTGATTTTCAAAAGGAAAATGCGACCAGTGAGTGTGCGTTCATATTTATAGCCAGTTGTATTTGTAAACTGGAACTGAAGCTGAAAAGCCAGAGGCGACTTCGGGATCTTAAAGGCTTATCTCGGCAAGCAGTATTCAATAAATTAATCAAACGATCAAGAGGTAATCGAATTACAGTAGATACTATAGTAATTTACAGTAGATTTATGTCGACTTAGCCAAAAGAAAAAAAACAAACTGCAGATGTTTAGTTTACTACAAATCGAAATCTACGATTTTTTCCCATTGAGTTCTAAAACCGAAGTAGGTAGGTAAGGTAGATTTTTAAAAGCGAATTGGATTGTGTAATGAATGAGAAGATAAACTTATACCTTTTGCTTTTTGTTTTTTTTCTGTGTGGTTTTCTTGGTGTCAACTCGTCCTGAGTGGAAACTTGGAGGTGTAGCTGGGGTTCTGAAACCAAAGGCGAACACAAGAAGGGCGCAAATGACCACACCGAGTACAGGTAACACGACCGACAGGGAACCAAGCTCTACCATTTCCAACATGCTGATTGACTAAGCTCGCCGTTCCGTTATTACAGTCCTTCTTTTCAAACAGACCCGACCATCAACAAGAAAATGAGGGATTTAAAAAAGTCAGCTTCTACCCTCACTTTAATTTTTATTGTGTATGGATGGAAAAAATACAGATAGATGGAAGGAAGGCACCCTTGATGTCGTCGTTTCTGCCCCCGATTTTCAGAATCGGTTTTTAGATGAGCCGGGTTCAATATTTTTTTTTTTTTTGCCGTAGTTCTTGTTGACCGTTGATTGTCTTTCTCTCAACAAACACACACACTCCTCTCAGTCCCAATGGGGTCGAATGTGGTCTTCTCACCTCATCCACTCACTGATGATGATGATGGCCCATATGGTCGATCTTCTTCCCTTTTCGCCTAGCTACCGTTTACTCCGTCTACCAGGTAGCAGTGGTAATAGTAGTAAACACGAGATAGTAGGAGTGAGTTTTTTTTTTTGCCTATCTATCTATACTTATGTAAACCTATCTAAGTTCATACGTAACCCTGTACGTATACATATACAAAGAGAGAGGGAGCTAAAAATGTCGCGAGGAGTGGTAATAGTAAGCTTTAAATAAAAAAAAAAGAGAAGCAGCGGGAGGAGAAGATACTTAGTGGGAAGAATGGTATAAGTTTTATAAGGAGTGGGAGTCAGGCCGAGATTTGAGACACGTGGTAATAATAAGAGGAGCGGAAAGAGAACAAAAATGCATTAGGAAAATGCAAAGGGAAAACGTGGTAGGAGGTACTCGTCCCATTCTCCCTTGTGAGTAGCGGTGTAAGTATAACGTTATAGAAGGAGTATGAAGGAAAGAATAAGAATCTGAAAAAGAGTGTGTATGAGTAGATGTGAAGGGAGTGTTAAACTTCTAAAGTAAGAAGGTGACATGAGGCCGACGCAGATGGTAGGAGGAATGACAGCCAATATGAAGAGTTAGACACGTGGTGGTAGTAGCGTTCTTAGTATTATCAGCATCAAGTATAGTAAATTTTCATCATCATAAACATAAAGACCCTTAGTGAGTAGCCATCAAAATTGTGCCGTGGCCGACCTTATGTGTGAAAAACGTCATCATTTTGAGTGCATAAACCACTGTTTTGTAACATCTGTTTTAAAACTGCTTTTCCAAGGAAATAAACACTGTTGTTTCAATATTTCATAAGATTTTTTAAAGGTAATTTTAAAGCACTAACTTAGCAGGAAATTTTATTTATAAATAAAAAGGGAAAAATATTTCATTTTATCTACGGAAAAAGAAAAAGTGATAATTTTGTTTTTTTGTAGTAAATTTTCTCCTTTATTCCTGAGTCGGGTTGAGAAAAATCCAAAAGAATTGCATGCTCTATCCAAGATTACTATAAAAGAAAAGGTGTGTTACTGTTAGTTAACATTAACAAGTATCTAGGTTTTTAGTGTGAACTCAGGAAGGACATGAATATTTTTCTCATTTAAAGATTCTCCACGTATGCTTCTTATAGGCCGATGAAAGAAATTCCTGAGATAAAAAACAGCAATAATAATGATAATAATAATAGGTATTGTATACTATTAGGCCTTTAGACCAAATAACAATTATTATTGTTTTTTATCTCTTGAATTTTAATTGGCCTTATGATAAAGGCCCTTATCTATCTATCTATCTATCTATCTATCTATCTATCTATCTATCTATCTATCTATCTATCTACTTCTAAGCCACTAATACGCAAGGGGTTACTGAGTCAAAAGTCATGAGAAAAACTTATGAAGAGTGGCCAATAAAAGTACAGGAATTAAGAAGACAAAAGATGACAATTGACATTATATTTAAATTTTTGAAGATCAAAGTTGACTGGAAAGCAAGAAGCCAGAAGAGAGTTCCACAAGTGAAAAATGCAAGAGAAGAAACTGTTTTAGCATAGAAGTTATGGTTACATATAGCAATTTCAACTGTAAAATGATGAGATCTAGTTTCCAATCTACAGGGTGGTCTGAAAGTTTTGTCCAAAAGCTTTGTAGGAGTTTGTGTCACCCATCTGAAATAAAAAATTATGGCGTGACAAGACTTTTGGACCATTCTTTAGTTCTGTACTTAAACTTGTAAAGTCAAGGTACCAAAGAGGAAAGCTCATCAGAACAATTACCATGAAAATATTGAATTATCACAGGGAAATTATGCCAATGCAGTGGGAAAGTGCTTGAAGATTAGATGCCAGGTCAGGACTGATAACATGGCATATTCTTCCTTGAATTTTATCAAAGATTCCTAGATGCAAAGCAGATGCACCAGATCAAATGTTATAGCAATATTCAAATCATGGACAAATAGTTGACTTATAAAAGTATAAGATAGATTCTGGTAAGAAAAATTGTCTATCGTTGTTATATCAAAATTTATATTGAATCATTTTTATATTGAATTCATTTGATTAAACCAAGTTTGATACAAGGCCACAATTGTAAAGCATTTAGTGACTACCAAGTTTACAATTCTTGAAACTAGCACACAGTACACTGCATTTTCAAGAATAAATGTCTATTCTGTTTAATTGTTAAAAATCTCTTGAAAATCAAAATCCAGATTTAGAATAGTTTTTTTTTTTTAATAATGTTTTAGGCAAAAGCGAAAATGCCTAGACACTCAAAATATGTCCCCTCTTCCATACACTATCTGTAAGTGATGCAAAGTAATGTATTTTCTGTACTGAATTCTGTATCTCATATCTATTATTTTCTCATTTTTAACTAGTGACAGATATTTTTATTTAGGGAATGATATTGTTTTCATTTTTTCTGCATTTTAATTCCTAATTTTGTAACATTGTGAGATTGCCTTATACAAATTTCTATTATTTTTTTTATGTAAACATGTGTAATCATTGATAACTAATAACATTTATGAATAATTTTTATCAATCAATTTCATTACCTGTTTAACACTTAAACTAAACTACCAACTCAACAAAATTCTTCATTTTTCCCCATAATTTTAATAATCATCAAATTGTTTTGCTCATATCAATATCATTTTGCTGTAAGAAATCTATAGGTTGAGTATTCTTTATTCTGTTGTGGCCCTAACCTTATGGCTACTATAAAACAGCACATCCACAACAGAATAAAGAACACCCCATCTACAGATTTCTTTCTTTTTTCTTTAAAAGCAAAATGCCTATATTGATATGTGCAAAACTATTAGAATAAAGGGGAAGGATGGCGGCATGTTCCTGTCTTGGTGAAGAAACAATGTAGTGCTATGGAAAGGAAACTTTGACAGTTATGTTTTCAGAAATCCCTTGGAAAGATACTGAATACAATAGAAAGTAAGGAATGTGTAGCAGGAAATCATTTCTTCTGTAGCATAGACACTGGAACAACACCTGCAAAGGAGTCTGGTTTAGTACACACTGCAATGCACCCACCTGACCTGCAGCAAGTGAAAACGCATACTGTCCTCCCAACAGACACCCACCTCTTTTATGTGTTTTTCCCAAGCCAGAAAATTAGCATCTTGTACACAGTGCCAGCCTTGATCTGGTTCAGTAACGCATGTGCTATATCTTTCCAGTGCTGATGCTTGTACACTTTGCTTCACTCAGAATTTGCTCTTCTCATGTGCAAATTTAGGCTATGCCACTCTGGCCCTCTTGGACATCTGAGGTAATTCTCCAGCACCCCCCCTTCACCAGGTGCTTTTTCACACAGGCAGGGAGGGTAGTTCTACTTCCTCTCCTGCTTCATTTCAAACTTTTTTTTTTTTTTTATTTGGCTTTATTTTAAAAGTTCAGTCTGTCCACATTGTCCCTTTACTTTTGTATTTCTGCCATAGATAGCTAGAAAATGTACAAACATGTGAACGACTCCTACACATTTGGCCAGATGTCATCAAATTTGTAAACTTAATTAAAAAAATAGAAAAATGTCTCCAGTCCAAGACTTCTCTGCGATGCTGTCAAACGTGAATGAAGTTTTATTTCCAGTGAAACGGCAGATTCTTGTGTCTGTTTCGAAATACATCGAACTGTTTCTGATAAAATATCAAAATGATAAACTGTTGCTTCCTTTGCTTGCAGATGATCTTTTTAGCATGATCATGAAACTGTTAAGATTTGTAAAAGAAGAGCAAACTAAAAAGATAATTACATTTTCCAAACTGAATGAATTTCTAAGAATTTTGTCAAATCCAAACAGGCATAAAAATGCTGCAAAAATCAAGTGTGGATTTCTATGCAAAATATATCCTAAAAAGGAAATGTGATATGTCCCGGAAAGGGATATATTTGAACAAAGTAGCTAAGTGGCTTTGGCTACTATAACCAAGTAGAATACGGTAGCAGTAATTGACTGGTACGCGTTGTAGTCGCAAGTAAGAAGTGTAGATCAATGGCATAGTCCAATGGGCATTGTTATAGACTTAGCTCTCAGACTAAGGCTCTTGATTCTCCTACACGTCCGTTGGTATTTATGATAGACACCAGCCAATCATATTCCAGTGAGGGGGAACACAGGTGTATGCATATTCCATTATATCAAAATGTATCTACAAAAGATTTGTTTGCATGCAGAATTGTAGCTTCTGGCAAAGACTCCCCTTGTAAGTCACTTGCATGGGTGAACCCTGTATCCATTTATGAAAAAAAAAAAATCTGCCACAGAAGATGGTCTAAAAAGATGTCCTTCCCATATGATGGACAGAAAACAAGTGAGCAAGTCTGATTGTGATGATATCATCTGTCAGTACAAAGTGTTTCAGGAGGAGGCTGCTGGAAATATTGCTTTCAAGAATTTCAGCAAGCATGAAGGCTGTCTGGACACTTTGTTCTAGTCTTCTTTGTCTGGCAACAAAGAATATCAAAAATTGGAAAGTTGCTTGCAGATTGCTGGTACTCTTTCATGGACAGACTTTAGTGTAGAGAGATTTCTCAGTTAATAAGGAAATTTCCACTGACAATATGAAGCAGCAGAATGTTCCCATGACCAAGGCTTTTCTCTGCACT